TTACCTTTTTTACCTTATTGAATATCTGTCACATAGGAAGATTTAGATATTTAATATTAAAAGAAAACTCACAGTAAATAATATAGGCCAACTTATGTGAAATCTTTCAATGAAGGGAATCAAGCAATGTTGTCTCATTCTAAATTCAGTCTAAGTTTAAAATTAGAGTACAAAGATGAAATATCTTTTTTTATTTTCTTTCCTGCTTTTTGGGTCACACCCAGTGATGCCCAGGGGTTACTCCTAGCTCTACACTCAGGAATTACTCCTGGTGGTGCTCAGGGGACCATATGGGATGCTGGGAATCAAACCCAGGTCGGCCGCGTGCAAGGCAAATGCCCTACCTGCTGTGTTATAGCTCCAGCCCTAAGATGAACCATATTGAAATATTTGGGCCCAAGGGTGTGATTCCAAAACAAAAGCAGAACAAAGATTGCCTATTTTGTGGATGGACTTTAATGAAGTCTGTATAATTCTAGAACCTAATTCTAGAATCTAAATTCAGTAGCCTCTCCTGTCCCAAAGAAAATCAGCAAAATTGTAGACAGGTATACACCAAAATGACATAAAACAAAACTGGATAAAAACGAAGCTGTTGGTTGTAGACATGCTTACTTAAAAGTAGCAGGAGGAATTCTTATAATGATAGAACAGTGCTGTGTCTTTCTAGATTGTAAAGGTAAAAGGTAAAGGCCCTCCCGTTGATCGTCGATTTGCTCGAGCGGGCCCAGTAACGTCCCCATTGGAGACTTGGTCTAGATTGTAATTATAGATATGTATTTACATAACTTTATACATGTGATAAAACTGCATACAACTAAGTACACCACCCAGCCCACCAAACAGTGCATTAAAAACTGAGAACGTACTTAATTATATGAATACTAATCTCTTCTTATTATAGTCTGACACAATATTGCAAATTGTTACATGGAAGGAAAAGAGTGAAAACATACAAGAGGCATCTCGCTACTATTTCTTGTGTATTAATTTATAATTATTTTTTTAAAAAGTTAACAAAATAAACTGTAGGATAGTTATTAAAACTTTACATCAGCAAAACATTGGCACCAAGTGTCCAATAAAGGATAATAATAAATTAATTGATTTTTAAAAGCTTAATATTTTTAACCTGGAAAGATATTCATATTCAGATAATGAAAACAAACAGCTTTTAAAAATTGTTTTAAAAATATTTATAAAATAGATTCCAAAGTATAGGTAGTGTCTATGTCTTCAAGGCAGATTCATGAATAATTCTGGAGGGATTTTTTTTTTTGCAGGGGGCAGGGTATACCACGTAGTACCTAAGAATCAAGTAATACTATCTCCTTCTAAATCAGACATTCCTGATGATACTTAGAGGTGGGGGTCACTCCTGGTGACACTCAGTCAACCTGCCCAGTAGACCAGTTTCAGGGCCCAAGGGTGCAGTGTTGCTCAAAACCTGTAATGACACAGGCATCCAGGGTCATCCTGAGGTGCTCAGGACCTCTAGGACCATACCAGATGACCATGAAGTGCCAGGAGTCGAGTCTGAGTCAGGTGTATGTAAGACAGGACTCTGATCCCTATACTATCTCTTGGGTCTTTAATTTTGTTTTGTAATTTTACTTTTCTCTATGAATTTTATTCTCTCAGGAACATTACCCAGATAAATATATTAGAGGTTGACTATTAGTGCCAAAGCAACAGGACAGTGGGCAGGGCTCTTGCCTTGCACACAGCTAAACAGGGTTTGAACCCCAGTGCCACATATGGTCCCCTGGACACCACCTGTAGTGATCTCTTAGCACAGAGCCAGGAGTAAGCCCTAAGCACCATAGGGTGGGATTCCAAAACAAAAGCAAAACAGACTGCTTGTTTTGTGGATGGGGTCTAGTAAAGTCTGTATAATTCTAGAACCTAAAACAAAACAATAGGAAGATTACATAGAACGTCATTTCTCATCAAAATAAGGATTAAAATCCTACCTGTAAAAGTTGCGGAACAAGAATCACCACTTTAGGAGACCATCACTTGCAATGGGATGGTATTTACCAGGGTCTGGTGAATTCCTCATTAGTAATTACGTGGAAGGCAGTCTGGTTTATGCAGGCTTGGAAATTGGACCCAGCTGCTTTCCAATTCTAAAACTCTGTGCCATTTGATTTTGCAAAGAATTTAATAGATGCAACCTCTCATTTCAAAAGCCCCTTTTATGTTTCAAAGTACTTTCACATATGTAGGTCCATATTATTTTCAGTTAAGTACTTTCTTAAAAAAAAAAAAGGAATCTGTCCCTGTAACAATTGTTTAGAGTAGTAAGAACAAGGTATTATCACTTCCATGCCATTGGAGAGAAAACTGAAGTAGCAAGAGTGAAATTCTTTGGCAGTAGGAATGAGTTACAAAATCAAATCTCCATTCTCTCGACTCAACAGCACCACTATTCTTTCCTCTACTCTTGAGTCTCTTCCTTCTACTAGGGTTTATAAGTTGGGGATACTTTTTCCAAGGTTGCTTGTATGTTATTGTAAACAAAAATGCTTACTATGCAATCTTACTATTCCCACTTACTTATGTTGGCTTAGTTAATATTGATTAATTTATATCGATTAAGAATACCTTTAAAATAATGGCTGATCAAACCAGGACTTGAAAGGTCCAAGGGCTGATAAATCTAGTTGGGGTTCTCTATAAAAACATTTTCCCTAATATCTGTATCTACCTCTCTCCCTTTCCCCATAGTTCCTGGAATAAAAACGTGTAAGTAGGGTTTCTGGGCCAGTTAAATAGTGAATGGAGTCCATATTGGGCATAATGAAATGAAGCTTTGTTACTTTTACCAAAGGCATTAACAGGAGAATTTTCTATTTATTTTGCAGTAGCAGCAGATTAAGCATGACAGCAATCATGTGGCAATTCACCAAAAGAGGTCTTAGTTAGGTGCTATCTAAAAATCATGAAATGAAGTGGGAAAACATAGACACAGAAAAGGTTTTTATGTTTTAAGGAAGTAAAACCAAAATTAGATAAATGATTCTTTCCACAAAATACACTAAACAAATGACATACTTTCATTGGCTGATAGTGTCATTATTTACACACTTATCACTTTCTGAGTTCCAAATTCTCCTGAGTGCTTCTCCTCACAACTATGCTATGAAAGTCACCATAGGAGGAAGCCAGGGGGGTCCGCAATGTCATACCCTTCAGACACCTTGCCACTATGTGGAATCAAGAAGATTCCAAGCCAGATGGCTGACTCCCAAACCAGTACACTTCACCATTATTTGTTCTCTCAAAATGGAGGTCTGTGTTCTTTTTTGTGAATAGGAAGAAATGAAAGTTTCCTAATAATGGCATAATAAATCACTGCCAGAGATGGAGAGTTAACTTGGACATAACTGTAGACAATGAGATAAACGGTACTGGCCTGACATATAAGAATCAAAGTGGAGGCTGTAGAACAACTGATTGGAACAAAGATGATTGGACTCTATGTAGCAAGATTAAGACATTCTCGATTAAGGTGATAATGTCACAGGCTTGAAACAGTTTTCAATACAGTTCAAATTCAGTCCTCAGCATTGAATCTATTCATTCATTCGGCAATTACTGTATACAAACCATATGCTAGACACTCCAACTTAGAATGATTATTGCAGTGACTGAAACAGAGAGAAGTAATCAGCCTACTGGAGTTTGTATAAATTACAAGAGAAAATGATGTAATATAAAGGGAACCTGCCATAAAATATTTGGGTTTCAATCCTGACAAGATACTCATAAGCAAACACTTGAGTTCCACAGAGTTAATTTCTTGATGAGTTCAGTGCCCTAAACTTAAACTGTGTACAATAATATTAACTTTTATTATATCAACTTTAATTACAAAAATTGAGTTTATAAAAGTGAAAAAATACTTTTTCTTTGGTCTTGAAGAAAATGAGGTAGTTGTAAGGAATAAAATTTGGCCTCACTATTAAATCCTTTAAAATATCTCATTCCATATTTTGCATAATCTAAACTTTCTAGCTTTAATGTTAACCATGTGTAAAATTTTCAGGGTCAGTACAAGGTTATTCCTCTATACCAAGCCACCCATTTGAAATTCTACATTACATACTTAACATGCAATATTATGTATGAATCCCTTATTATGGAAAAAAGTTGGATTTAAATTATATATTAGTTATAAGTTCTCTTAAATATTTATAGAGAAATTCTGCTTCTTATCTACCTCTTTAGAAACAGATCTATAACAGCCAATTATTTCTAAAGAATTTGAGTAATTTTCTTCTCTGTGCTCTTTCTTGATGACATTCATTCTCAGAACAAATTAAGTTAAATGAGTGTGTCATAGGCTCCAAGGAATGACAACCTCCCAGCAACACAGCAGCACTGTGGTGATCAAACGAAAAATAAAGTAGGATCTAGCCTTACCTACCCTAACCCTGTTGTGTGAGTAAAATGGGAAATCTCCAAGCCTATATTTACCAACCCAGCAATTCAGAATCCTGCTTCCTAAACAAAGAGGTGTCAAACTTGAGATTCCATAAAAGCCAACACAAGCCAGGTATTGTACATAAATGAAAAGAACATAATTAGCAAAGTTATAGTCATAATTAAAAAATACCTCCTCAGGAAATTTTCCATTTAACTCAGCTATGCATCAGTAACTATTGTGGTTAACAATCCCTTGTCTCAGTTAGCTCAAACTTATGCCACAGATCTAAGAATTCCAGCACCATCCCCTGAACAAGATTCACAGAATCTAATGCAGATATATGTTTTCTAATAACAGACATAAAGCAAAGAACATATTTGGACAAGAAAGCTATCACTAATGTATATATTTACATCTATATCTATATGAAATATAGTCCCCAAAATAATCAGTCAGATGTCAGCTAAATTATCCTTTCTTCAAACTTGTTCTCTTGTATAGTCTTTTCTTTTCCTATCTCTAAAGACAAGTTAAAAAAAAGACCAGAAAAGCAAAATTGGGTACTCACTTCATCTCCAGGATCTCTTCCAGCTGTTTCCTTCTTTCTATCCGGAGGTTGGCCAAATGTGCTTCTTTTTCAGCCAGAGACTGTTGTGTGGAGGCGAGGCGTGCTTTAGTGGCGTCCAGTTCCTGTCTGGTCTTCTCCAGTACATTCATCAGCTCCTCTATCTGAAAGGCACATGAAATGAGAAGTGTTATTTCTCTTCTTTCGGGCTCAGGATGCTCCATGCTAGCTTGTGTTTGAACCATAGACCCAAAAAGATCACAGCTGTCCTTTACCTGAGCATTGCATCTTGGAGTTTATTGTTTCTTTGTCACTGGTTAAAAATAAATGTTGCAAGTTCAAAAAATGTCTACATTTATCAAGGTCCCCGATTGATTAAATTTGAGAATAAGCTTCTTCATTTACTTATTAGAATCAGAGGGTGAGTAACATGACCAATTTCAACCTTTACTTGATAAAAATTTCAGATACAGTTGGCAGAAGAGCACAATGCAGTTTTGTGTGTAGGACTTAGAGTACTATGTCAGGAAGTGAATCTACGTGCTTCAGATTCATTCATGTTGGAACTTATCAAAGCCTAGTTTTGCAAATGTAGTTTGTTGTCAAAAGAGCCTCCAGAGGCCCCTTGCACCTCACCTCCCTTTCTTGCATTTAGGAAGCGAGATTTGTCCAAAAATAAACAGAATTCCACCCTCAAAAGGTTCAAATTTGGTTTGGTCCTGAAGTTTGAGAGGGTTCTAAACTTGAAATAAATGACATGTAACTTTTATAGGGTGCTAATACACCATAGAACTAAGCCAGACTATCAAATATCCAGGGTTTTCAGCCAGGTCCCCAAAAACTGGACCGGGGGGCCCAATGCATGGCCTTATCCTCCCCAAACCACTGGGGACTTTTAAAAGCCAACATACTACAAAGAACGCTGGTGTTTATGGTTCTGTTCCAGAGTTTTCTGTGGGGCAAGCTGGTGAAATGCCATCCCTCACACAGATGTAAGCTGCATCCACCCTGCTGATTTAAAACCATGGTTTCAGGAAGTTTCTAGATTCCATAGTTGATGTTTGGCTTTCAAAGCTGCCCTTCCAGCTAAACTTGGCAGAATAGGATCATCCATCACTAAAGTCAACAGAATACCCTTCAAAATGTGTCAATGACATGTTAAGTTCCAATTCATAAAGGTTTCTATATTATTTTTAGAGTTTTACATGGAATTTATTCAGAATAAGCATCTATAGTTCATATCCAAGTTAAATTTCAGACATTAAAAAGACAGAAAATCTTCCACTTTTATCCTGATAAAAGAAGGAAACTTGATAATTATGCAATATATCAAGTCCAAAAGCAAAAAAAAAGTATAACCTATGAAAGTCACATAACCATGCCAATTTGATTATAGAATAGTCATAATTTTTAACTTTACAAATATATACAACCTAAAAGGCAATTGTAAGCTCATTAAGTTTCTCACATAATTCCTAGATTATCATAAGATCAGAAGTACTTTACAAAGCAAAATTTGGTAAGGATGAAGTAGAGGGTCACCCTATTTTCATACTTATGATATAACCAAAAGCAGTGTAAAAATCTAAATTATAGTCTTTCCAAGTGGCAACTCAGACACAGTAGGCTGGGCCCTTCCATGCATTTATAACCTGCGTCTAAATCTTAACCCTATTTGCTTTAATAATTGTTCCTGTCCCAAATATGATGTCAGAGAAGAAAGAGATTATGCAAAATCCTCCTTGCTGAATCTTTCACACTTGTTAAAACTGACCTGCCAGAAGTCTGTAGTTCAACTTAATTTCCAATGGTTTTAATTTTTGGTTGGGGTGGGGGAGAGTAAGGAAGTGGACACCCAGCAGTACTCAGGGCTTACTTCTGGCTCTGTACTCAGGGATCACTCCTGGTGGTGTTTGAGGGACCATATGTAGTACTGGGGATCCAAGCACCACATATGTCTGCTTTACTATTGCTCTGACCCTAAGATTCCAAGTTCTTAGTTCACCTGTCAATTGACTTCTTGGTGCAGGCACTAATTAGTTTTTTATTAACCTACACCAGACACACTTCAGAACTATAACTTTCAGGCTACTCTAGTAATTTCAGCAATAAAGTTATGAAGAAATGTAAGCACCTAAGGGATGTAACTCAAATTTTAATAGCCAGATATAGCCATTGGCTTTCAATATCAAAATCTCCCAATACAGCCCTTAATGTGAGAGAATACTGTTACTTTTAAGAGAACCTCAAATTAACTTCCAAGAGCAGTATCTTACTATTAATTCACCTGACCCTGGCTAGTGAGTATTGCACCTGGGACAAGTGGTCTCAGATTCTCCACTCAATTCAGGGTGACCAAAAGCCAACTCATGATCTTTACATAAACAAAATCTCCACTGCCCAGTTGTACCCTCCCAATATGTGACTTCCTAACTTGTCTACCAGTTTGCTCCAATGGCTGACCTTTTCTCAGTTACTCAAGTTTATAACCTCAGAGTCACACTTGTCTTTGTCCTCATCTTCCCCTTCTTTTTTGATACTGTTGTCTATTTTCTAATTTTTTATTTTTAGGTACCACAATGTACAATATTGATAAAGACGGGGTTTCACGCATAAAACATTCCAACACCACACCCTCTACCAAAGTGTCAGTCAGTTTCCTGTTTTATTTTCCATTAGTCGACACACCCTGTTTTGGGAACATTTCTTAGAAGCATTATTCCTTTTTATCCTTACTTTCAATGTCCCTATTTTGGGACGCTTCCTTTACTAACTTTATGATAGGGCTAAAAATAATTGTGTGTGTGTGTGCGTGCGTGAATGCATGCGTGTGCGCGCCCCCTTAGCCAAACTAAAGTAAGAACAGGGCTTTCCTGGGTCAGCTTCTCTCATAAAAAATTATAGTTCTCAGACAATTACAGACCTCAATTTTAGAAAATGCAATTATCAATTCAGTAGCAAATGTGGCCCCTAAACTGGTGCAGATGAAGGCTGAAATGTTGGATAAAATTAAATGTGAAAAAAAAAATGAGAGAAGAAAGAGGAAGAATGAGTCTTACAATTGGGGAGAGAGTAAGGCTTTATTTTACTATAGGGCAAAAATAAGAGTGGAGAAGAAAGTGATGATACTAAGGTTGGGGAGTAGATATTGGTTAGAGCTAGTTCTGGGACCCTTTCAGTGTTTTCCAAAGACAGATTAAAGACTAGAATTCCTTTGATATTCTTCAATTATATGATTGTGTGTCTTAGAATGTGTCTTTGAACGTGAGTTGGAATTCAAAGATGTCCCATAGGTCTTATTGTCTCAGTTTGTTCTTCTCTGGTGCCAGAAAAATAGACTAAAGCCATCAGTATTTTCTTAAATATCACTGGCCTGGATCCAAGGTCTTAGGGACCTTCCAAATACCCACAGTAGAGGTTCTCAAATCGTGTTCTCTAAAGTACCAAGGCTTTCACAAAGATATTTGAGTGGTGAGAAAAAGGTCAGTGTAGTCAGTGGATGAGTGTGAATCAGCAGAGATCAGTGTCTTCCATCCATACTCAAAAGAAACTGCTCTGCCTTGATTGGTTTTATGTGTATAGCACTCTGCTTAGAATTTAATTAAAAAATTTAAAGACAATTAAACATTTAAAAATACTCAGAATGAAAGGCAAGAGAAAATAGAGCGGTTGAGTTCTCAGCAGCATATGGTCCCTCAAGCATCACTGAGTACAGCCATTGAGGTCCATAAGCATCATTGGGAGTGTCCTTAGAGGCTCCCAGCACTGCTGGGGGAGGAGAGGAGGGAATAATACCTTCAGCACCACAGGTCCCGAGCAACATTGTACCCTTGGACCCTTACACTTACTATCATACTGACTGATCAAGAATTTCCTATGGAGCCCTGGGGGCTTCCTGAACATTGCTTAGAACCTACCAGACCCAATACCGAACTAACTAAATAAATGTATAAAGATAGGCTGTTATTACACTAATAATCACTGCCTCATCACTTGTTAGAGACTCTTGGGAAAGTACCTGAGCTTTCTCAAGTATAAATGTAGTTCTCAAAAAGAGTTACAGCAATTTAATAAATTACTCATTTATAGCATAGGGCATAGCATCTATTAAAGCTTTCCATATGCTCTGCCCCAAAGAGGCAGTGCAGCAGTCTGTGTAACTCCTGTAATTCAGGAGTCTGCCTAACATTATCTGCTGTTCAAAATGAGTTACAAGAGCTTTCTGAGCTTAGTTACCTCACTTGTGAAGTGGGGGTAATGACAGATCTTATTTCAAAGGGATTTTAAGAAGACTTAGTGGGTTAACATGTGTGATGTGTGATGCCTTAAGAGCAAGGCCTAGAAGTGTCAGTGTTATTAATACAATGTCTGCTAAAAAGTAGCACCGTAGCACTGTACTGTACTGTACTGTACTGTACTCCTGTTGTTCATCGCTTTGCTCGAATGGGCACCAGTAGCGTCTCCATTGTGAGATTTGTTGTTACTGTTTTTGGCATATTGAATACGCCACGGGGAGCTAGCCAGGCTCTGCTGTGCAGGCTAATTAAGTATTCAATTTATTTGATGTTTGAATATTACTGAATTCAAGATTTTTGGGTTTTCTATCACTTACCCTTAAGCACATGATACACACATACAATTACACTCTAGGGACTTCCTAATGCAGATCTACAACAGGTCATGCAGAGCTATGTCACAAGACTCTGGCCTCCTTCACAAGGGTACAGGGATTAAAAGTTGCCACTCTAAAAGTGGAGAGCCCTGGATAAATCATGGGATCCCCGTGATTGTGGGACAATTATAATTCAATGCTTCTGAAACTTTGATTTCTCTGGAAAACGTAAAATCCTAAAGACCTGGTCATATCCCTACATATTAAATCAAAATTTCTGAGAGTAGGAGTCAGGCATTAGCATTTTAATAAAGATATGAATGAAGTTCTCAGTAATTCGAAAGAGCAATAAGTCCTGGGAACCTGGAAATTATCAACCTCTAAATCCGTAAGTTCTTCCTGTAAATTGGGGCAGATATGGAAGCTACTTCACATGAGCATACAGGGAGATGACGCGTCTGGAATACCATCCCTCTCTGGATAGAACCCTTGAAATGTCCAGTTCATGGCACACTGGAGTTGTGGCTAATGAAGGTTCCCGGCCATGTTACC